TCGAGAGCCGCGGTTTGCTCACCATGGCTCTAGACTATCTCTTAGCCAAAGAGGGAGGGGTTTATTTAATTGCTAACACCTCCTGTTGTTTTTATATAAACTCTACAGGTCAAATAGAGGAAAGAACACAACACATTCTACAGAATACGCAATGGCTCAAGGAAATAAGTCAGGACAGCATAGAGCACTCCATACGATCAGCCTACAAGCAGCTCTGCCCAAATTAACCTGGCTTTTACCCCTTTTAGGCCCCCTAACACTATTTCTCCTACTCTTCCTCTTTAGGCCCTGCATCTTCAGAATAGTTACCAAATTTATACAAACAAGATTACAAGTCCTAGTTCAGACAGTAGAAGAGTTTGTCCTTACCCAGGTAAAGGCACCCTACAGGCCTATATCCCAGGAAATAATCTGACTTAACTTCTTAGGCGTCCACCACAGTCCCTCCCACGCATGAAGCGGACAAAGAGAAACGTCAGCCCCTCCCCCCTTCTTTTCCTTTATATATACCCTTTAAGACGGGAATTAAAAGGTTAAAGTGAATAATACAGGGCAGAGAAAAACTTATTGTGCTTAGCAGACACCTTGCAGAAAGCTTGCAGCCTTGAGCACAGCATAGCTCAGATAACCAGAAGACACCTGGCATGGGGGGAACCAAGGATGGACCAGACCCTTACATTAGTAGAGCGGCTTGCAACCAAAAGTTAATATAAACCTATCTCTCCCTGCTCTCTTGGCTGATGCCTTTCTCGGTCTCAGCCCACCTGCACCCAGGTGCCCGGAATAAAATCTCTTTTCATACATGATGGCCTCATGTCATAGGTGCATGACCCCAGCCTACTCCGGACCTTTCGGTGGCCATAGGTGTCAAGAACCACAATTTAATCAAGTTTCACATAAACCAAATTTCAGAGGCCATTCCTTAAGTAATTCAACTTTCAGGCAAAATGGAAGACTTTTTATTTTTGAGATTGTTTTACAAAATTTAAGATATATCAATTTGAACCTGAAGTTTATTTATTCCAAAGGCTAGACCAGGGGTGGGCAAACTTTTTGACTCGAGGGCCACAATGGGTTCTTAAACTGGACCGGAGGGCCAGAACAAAAGCATGGATGGAGTGTTTGTGTGAACTAATATAAATTCAAAGTAAACATCATTACATAAAAGGGTACGGTCTTTTTTTTTTTTTTTAGTTTTATTCATTTCAAATGGGCCGGATCCGGCCCGAGGGCCGTAGTTTGCCCATGACTGGGCTAGACGATACTAAATCCTTCTGGAAGCTCATCAGAGAACTAGTGTGATGAAACGAGAAAGAAGTAAGAAAGCCCTGGGCATGTGTCTGGACACCCAAACCTGAAGGTAAATGTTGCCTCTTCCCTCACATTCTGGACTCC